CAAAGTTTCTGCTGCGTGTAATTTGTTTTTATTATTTCTACTTCGAATGAAAGTCATTTAAATCACTGCCTTGAAAATTTTGAATGAATATTAAAGAGCGATTATCATCCATCTTAAATTTAAATCAAACTCATTTGCCCTCAACAGCAATTCCTAAGATCCATTGATTTTTCCGACGATTTAATTAACGCCTTTAATCATTGAATGTGCTAATTTCGAGTAGTTACTTTGATTACCTGAGTTAATTAACTTTCTTTACTTGAGAATTTATTATAACAAAAGTCAAAATTAAAATGTAATTGTTTCTAAATCAAAATTTTTAGAATGAAGATTTTTTCAACTTCATCTGTTTAAATAAGTATTGATTTCAGTTTCGTCGAGCTTCAGAAATTCCTCACAGTAACTGTTGATTACTACAGCTGTTATAATTGATGAATAATGAAATAAAATAAAATTTAATTACTACATTTTTCAGGTTGATTAAAAAGGAAAAATGTTACTTTTTAGAAAACCCAAATAAAAAAAGGGGATAGAATGGACCAAATGAATAATACCCATATTTTGAAAAATAATAATATCTATATGTTGGTTTTATTAACCAGAATTATGTTTTTTAACCAGAAACGTAATTACCATAAAGTGCGATAAATTTACCAGATATTTTTCTCAGAGTAGAAAGCATTAGTCAAAAATTTGATTGACGATAAATTTCCTTTGGTGATAATACGGTGATACGATTTACACTTCCATTATCATTCAGTCCATAGCTCGAGTAGAGACTTGAGCGCTCTAGCTAGTCTGAAAGTAATTGAAAAGGAATTGAGTAAATAAAAATCTGGAGCTTTCTGTAACTGGTATTACTTTATCTATTTATATATATTTTTTTTCACTTTAAATATATTATAAATAATGCTTTTTACATATTTTATTGAATCTTCTTCCCACAGATTATTCTTAAAGGATATTATTAGATGATATAACACAACAATTTACTTACTACTTGAACTAAAATATTATAGGATGTTAATTCTCATTGTTTCTTCATTTGTGTTAATATGTTAAATAAACATAAAAGCATATTAAAATAAAACATGATATTTTTTTGCTTAAAGTTAAATTGTAGTTAAAAATTCAAATGCTTGGCCAAAAGAATAGCTTTCAATTAAGTTAGGGAATTTCTGATGACAGCAAGTAAAATTATTTTTCAAAAAAACTATATACTATTTTTGAAATATTTTACGGAATATTTTACCTTGTTGTAACCGCCTGAGAAAATTTCTGCAGTTTATTTATCATTTATTTAAAGTGGTGTTAAATTTTATTTATAGTACATTCAAAACATTTTATGCATAAATCAATGTGCAAAGCAAGGAAATTGCAATATTTCTTGCTTTGGCACAAATTTATAACTAAAATAACTGTGACATGTAAGTTTTTAACTCATATCATTTATTATTTATATATTTTAATACTACACAGCATTATTTTTCTTCGATATTTCGCTTTACTGACTTACATCTCCAACATCATTATTTTCAAAACTAAGTTTTAGGGAATATACTTACAATAATTTTATCTGCCTGAGAAGAAAGCTTTGATTTTCAGCTACAAATAGCAACCTGAAGATTTATTGCTTCTTTCATATAAACAACATTTTTTGGGCCATGTTTGTTCCCTTATTGTTCATGACTTTCTTTCTTCTTTCATTCCTCAGGTGACCTTTGTCCAAGATAATTCTTTTCGAAATATCTTTCTTTTGGTCTCAGAAGATCATCTAGACTGTCCCTTATTTCCTTTTTTTTTTATTCGCTTAATGATTGCATACCGTTTTGCGTACCTTTCTTTCTCTAGCATCCTTTGCCGAAAGAAGAAGTGTTTTATTAAAGATCCCAGAACCAAACTACTGGAATCAAGAGACATTGTTTTATAATAAGAAGAAATCTTTGATATTGTAATCCTTATCTTGTTATCTTATCTTGTTATTTTCTATAAATTTAAAAGGTCTGGGAAGGAATATCTATAAAATATAAACAAATGAGGTATAATAATATTACCAATATTAGTCACTAAATATTCGATAGATATTGAAAAAAAATATATATATAGAATTCCTCATAAAGAGTCTTTCTATATTAACTGATAAGTTTAAACAGATGTTTCTTATCAAGTTTAAGATACAGAAATCGGTCTGTCACAAAGAGCCATAAAAAGTCAAGATAAACGAGATAAGGCCAGATAAAATATTATTTTCTGAAGTTAATGGGCAATAATTCGTAGATAAAGTACGCATTAAGATAGTCCCAAAAACTTCCCACCGTCAGAGTGGAGCTATCCTCTTAGCGAATCAAAATCCTTCAATTTTATCAATTGAATGACGTTACATTAAGATAAGAATATCCTTGCAACAACCTCCCTTTCAGAACCTCTCTTTAAATATCAAGCGCACCAAAAATGCTTAGCTTTTTCCTATTTGCATGGCTAGATAAATCTGGGCCAAATCCAAACATCCCTGCAATGAAAATCCCATCAATGTAAATAGCCAACGGACACTGTTTTAAATAACTTAAGATCCATTAATAAAATGCTTTTTTAAATGAATTAGCCTAAATTTCGTCGACTATCTAGCCTTTAAAGGCATATTACGATATATATATATAAACTGCTGTTTTTAGAAAATGCAACACCATGAAGGAATCATCAGAATCAAATGAAATATTGAAAATGTATCACGAATATTAATGGGAAAATGGCCGTCCGCGCGGACGTCGGATTCGAGATATTTGTTGTCNATATATAAATATATGATTATAAGCACTCAATTTTTTTCGGCCATTATTAAACAAGAGAATGAAAAATAATCAATAATTAAAAAAACAAATTGCACCTTTTGATAAACTAATTTTACAATTATGTGCAAAAATGTTTCAATTCATTTAAAAAGTTCTAGAGGTGTAGGGAAATACACAAAAAGTAAAATTAATATTAAGGGGTCTGAACTCTGGGGAGCTCTCCTGTCCAAATTATTGGGACTATATTTTCCTGTTGCAGTCAGTAATCCAAATCCGTCAAAAATTCGGAGAATGTTAGTTTTTTTTTCCTTTTGTCTGATTTTAAGATATTGTCTGCATTTATTAATTAGAATATATGAAGTCACCCCCTGGTGCCATTAAGATTGAGTCCCAGATCGCAAATATTCAATCATTAAATCAAAAGTTATTCAGGGTGGTCCACTTTTTTTGCGCACTTTATATTAAGAAAGATAAAGGATTTTTATACTTATTATTCGAAATTCTATGATGATTATAAAAATAAGAAATAAGAATAATTATTTAAAAATTTATTGGATATATGGATTTTGAGACATCAGCTTATGAGAAAAGAAATAAAAATTTTTAAGCCAATAATTTGTGGTTCAATGAAGAACAGTTATATTTCTTTTTAATTTATCAACTTATTTCAAAATAAAGTCAATTATATGAGAATATTATTTCTATTTCAGAATAATTGTCGTCATAACTGAAAGATTGAGATATAGATGGCAGCATCACACTTAAAATGAAAAACATTTTTACAAAACTATGTAAAGTTAACGGAGAAAGGAAAACTATTCGCTAAGAAGTATAAAAATGGTTCTTTGTTCACGGCTTAAATTATTTCAATTTAATAAATATATGGCATAGTCAAAATAATTCTATTATAAAAAAACTTATGCAATTTAATAATGAAAAAACAGGGTTTTTTTTAACTTATTCGTAAAATTTTCTCTTTCATTTTCTTATTTCCATTATTATTAATTTGCTTAAGACATTAAACATATGATAATAAAACATTAAGTATTGATTATTAATTATACGATAATTTTGAAATAAAAAAGGTATTTTTTTTTCATTTAAATAAAATATTGACTTGTATTATATTTAAATGAGCTAGCGTTTTCTCTTATTGCCATATAAAGATTCCTTGCTTCTTTCTTAATATTGAAAAACCAAACAAATTATACTTTTAGAAACTCTATTCATAATTAAATAAAAATAGACATTGCTTTAAAGCATCTAAAAATAGGTTAACATTTAAGTATGCAACGTAGCAATAACAATAAAGCATGGCTAGCAAGATACCATAACTCCCAAATCTGTACGTCTAGCAATAAAGTGTATCCTGATTTCATATTTTTTTTCTTGCTTTTCTGTCTTAAAAAAAATATTAGAATGTATATAATTTTTCATAAACAACCAATATTAGTATTTCGGAACTTCAAAAACAAATGTAGTTGCCTAGACGAAGAAATAATTAAAGTATGAGAGCTTATAGAGCATCTTAAAATTGCAATTATCTTTGCATGGCTATAAATGAACTTACACAATCCTGAATATTTCTCAGTGTTATAATACAATTTTAAAAAAGGCAAGTAAAAAGAAATTTATGAAGGTTGCACTGATAAATAATATTTATGTCCTGAAAATAGAACTTCTGCTGTGCAAGTTTGTGAAATTAACTTCTAAAATGTTTCTGATAATGTTACTTTGAGACAACATCCTGTTTGCTTACAAGACTGAACTAGATAAAGTTACTGACCTGATTCAGTCCCTACGGTAGACGTACGGATGACGTAGGGACTGAATACGACAATGTATGGTAGCGGTGATAAATGGTAAATTCTCTTAAGAAAAACTTTTAAAATATCCATATTCTAAATACTTTAAATTCCCATACTTAAAATTTGTTACATGTTTACTTGGCTCATATTACGAGCAGTAAATAAAAATATTTCAAAATAATAAAACTCTCAGCGTTACTTTTAACCCCATGACTGCAAATTTGGTGCACATGATACCACAAAATGTCATAACTGAAATATTATTCATATCAATCCATTCAAACGAATCAAACTCAGTCACTTTGAAAACTACTTGTCTCAGGCCTTTTCAAGCATTTAACATTATTCGGGAGCGTTCGTAAAACCAGTTGTCTTGACCTAGATTCACAGCCTGAAGATGATTCATTACCCTTTTAGAAATCAGTCTTCGTTTCTCAGACTTTTGTGACAAGTTTTACTTTCGAAATATCACCTCAGAATCTTCCGCTCTTTCTGAATTTGCGAAGTTTTAATCAAGACAAAGCTTTTAAGTTAAATAAAATTATTCAAATGTCGCTTATAAAACAATGGCAAGGATTGCCCGTAATATTATCAATAGTTGTATGCTATATATATTCACAGGTATGTTTTAAATGTGATTTTTGTTCTTTTATTTAATTACCATTGTTTAGTACTTAAGAATTCAGCTGAATCTAACTCGTAATTTTTAGTTATTATATTTTTAGTGTAAAAATGAAATCAATTGTTAAACCAGGAATAGAAAAAATTTTTAAAAAATTTTTACTTCTTTGATACAAATAAGATATTTAAAAAAAATTGATACAATTTATAAAAAACAATTACAATTTATACAAAAAATATGCATGAACTTTGAACAAATTTAATCATTTTAGTAAATAGTTTTTCTTTATACTTTTAGACACTCGGATTTAAAACTACACATTTAAATTAAGTGAGTGACACAAGCAATTAAATATTAAAATTAAAAGTCTTAAAAAAATGCTTGATATGCTTGAAATTGTAATAGAGTTTGTTGGTTGTATCCGTATAATGGTTGGCATTCTATTCAATATAATTTTCCGATATCAATTCTAAAATATAAAAATTTTATTGTATCATCAATATTAAAGAAAACTCATCAACAACTATCACTAATTGACAGTGAATTTTCAACATTTTTCAAAATTTCACAACAATCTGCATTCAAAATAACGATCCACCTAATCCATAGCAAACAGTAATTAAATTACATTGTTTTAAATAATTTCAATAAACAGAAACTTAATTGGCTAACGCTGATATGAAATAGTTGGCTGTTATCCTTTATTGATAGTTATGTTGTTTTTGGACTTATACCTATCAGCTTCTAAAATGTATCGATTGTGAGTTATTCTGTATAAAAGTAAAGTTGCAAACAACACTCTCTAAGGGAGAATAAATAATTAAAAACAATTGAGGTTTTGCGATAATAGTTATTCAAAAATAATCAATATTCTACAATAATCAACATTAAGCAATAACTGCTTATCCTCTTTTTATATAGCAGATAATTGCTGTTTTAAATCTTAATAAGGAAAAAAACTATTAATAGACTTGCATATATTGATAAAAAAAACTTGAATTTAATATAGTTTATTTACTGTTTTTGTTTTTGGAATTTTATTTATGCATATCAGCTTATAAATATTATCTAATTTATTGTGAGCTATTTATTTGCATAAAAACAAATCATGGCAATTAATTTCACTACCGGAAAATAATAGATATTTAAATAATAATAAATAATCAACTATAATCAATATTCCACAAAAATTGACATGAAACGTTAGAAATTGCTTTTCTGATACTAACATTTAATAATAATAATCATTTAACTACGATAAAAAATTTATATAACACGCACGATAAATTTTTTATTAAAAGAACTTAAGTCTTTTTTCGATTATTTTATAATTCATTTGTTTTCATCTTTGTTATATGAATAATGCAATAAATTACAATTGACTAATAATTAATTTTTTTTATTTAATCTCTGCTTTGCTTTCTATACATTAATAATTTATTAATATAAAGGCACTCTGATAGATTAGAAACGTTTATAACTTATGTATTATATATCTAGATTAATATTCAGTTGAATTTACTCAAAAAAAAATCACTGAATTATGCAAACAGCAATTATCTAGAAGAGTTTTATTCACATCAAATCATCACAATTATAAATTTTAAAGAAGGAATAAAAAAGGGGAAAATAAGACGCATTTATAGTGTTTTTTTTTTTTAAACAAAGTATTTTACACACAATATACCGCATATTTCATAATAGCGTGTAAAATATTTGCATCAAATTTATATTTTGCATGTGATATAAACGATTGACACCTATACGCGATCATCGGTGAAAGTTTAAGGAAATATAAATGATTAATTCGCAATTAAAATACAATATATCTGGTAAGACATTCCCATTAAAATAATATATTTCAGCGAATTTTACAACAAATGTATATAGACATACGTTTCCGATACTATTTCCTTAAAGAAAAATATTTCAAAACATTCTAGCTATTTTTTAAAGATAAAAAAATTCAATTTCACTTATCTAGTAGCAATCTTGTTTTTCACAGATCTAACCGCAAGCAATTTTATAAATTGTCCTCCTTTTTTCAATGTCAGTGTTTAAGGTCATTATCTTGAACTAATAGTCCAAATAAATGATATTAATTTATGCTCGTGATTTAGAGTGATAGAACATTCTGACTGTCTCACACTCAGATAGAGCACTCTGACATTCTGACTGTCTTATTAAAAATCCAATAGCAAAAATTTTAAAATTTATTTTTGCATAATTCGACAGGTCTTGAAATGTATTTAATTAGTTTGTTAAATAAATTACGAAGTTCTTTTCCGTTCCAAGTTAATAATATGTCATTTAAAAATATTGATTTGATTGACTTTTTTATGAGATTTGTAGATTTTGAATATGATCTGCTAAAAGACGATCTCGATATAACATCGTCTTGAATATATAACATCGTCACAATTTATTGAAACTTATAGACGTGTATATTAAAAATTCGATTTTCGTTAAATGAAATAAAAACATACTAAAGTGAAAATATCTTTAATTCATCACAAACTAAAAACCTAATTCGAAAAAAAACGTGTGTTCAACTACATGAAAAGCTACCGAGAATGATGATGACCTTTACTGACCTAAAAAGTCCTTTGAAGTGTCTTAAAATAGCAAGAAATATTTATAAAAAAATGTTGAAAAATAATTCCTGTAAATTAAACAGGAATTATTATTTTTTAATTTTAATTATTCTTTTCAATTTTATTAATTTTTAACTAATCTTCGAAACGCTTGTTATCGAAACGCTATTTGTTTTTGTAGCTCATAAACAAATTGGAAAAAAATCGAAACTTCATATGTATAGCTTTTAGTATGACATTTTAAATAATGTAAAATCATCAAGAAATAATAAAAACGTAAATAATTTTATTTAAAACAATATAAAAATATCAAAGTTATCAGTTGAATATTTTTTTTCCAAAACTAAATGAAAAGAAATTTTTCGGCGAATACATTCAAAAACTTTGGAAACTAATATTTTAATAATCAGTTTTGAATAAAAACGTGTATTGTTTTAGTTCAGTCTTTCTTACCCCAGTTCGATTTTTCGAACAAACAACCCCGCACTATACAGAGTGCATTGTAATCTGTGCTCTTAATATCTATTTTAGAAATTCTTGTCAAAAGTTTAGTCAAAATTTTAAACCCAAGGCAGAAAATCTTGATGGTTTTCCTTTGATGGACGAACATAAATATGATGGTTAAAATCTTGAATTCCTATCAAGGACCAACATACAGTTTAATGGGAACATCTTGATCTGCCCAAGATACCAATTTAGGAATTGGCACCTCTTTTAAGTTGGGCCAACATTACATACCCAACATGGTATGATGGATTTTAATGTTGGGTCAACATAGCACAATAAAAAAAAATTTAAAACCGGACAAACAGCTATTGAAGAAGACAGATTTAAAACAACAATAACATTTTGGTTGCTAGATGAACTACGAATGTATTTCTAGTAATCACCTTTCACCTCCTCTCAATTTTCAATCAAATAGGTTTAGAAGTTTTCAATAACATATGTTTAAGGTTTGATAACGGATTTGGATTAGTCAACTTGATGATAGACAAAGATTTATAAAAATATAGACTAAGAGTGGCAAATACGCAACACCTAATATATGAAATGACATACGTGATCAACCTTCTTAACCCATTAACACTTAAATTTTTCAAATGCCATCACAAAAAAATCTATTAAAAAAGTTATTTTTTTTTTAGCCAAATGAATTTGTCTTTTGTCGACTACTAAATTTTTTAAAAGAATAAAAAACATTTGCTTGGTGTGAAAACAGTTCTGTTTCAGAAAAGAAGAATTCTCGTAATTCTCGAGACGTATATGTCACACTAGGTCAACGTAGGTTCCAATGTGTTGGATATTTTGTGTTGGATATGTGTTGGATATTTTAAAAAATTCCAATGTGTTGGTCCAATGTGATTTCCAATGTGTTGGATATTTTAAAAAATTGGATTTAATAACATACACGTCTTTTTAAGCTTAAATAATATTAAGCAAGCGTATTGACTAATTTTTGTTTATTTTGAAAACATACAAATTTGAAGTTGGAGAACCTCTTTTTGGCAACTATAAGTATAAAGAATTATTTTATAAGATTTAAATTATATGTTTATAATAAAAAAATGTTTTTTTTAGAAATAGATTTCTGGTTTATTAATTTATTTCAAGATTCTAGAGCGTGTTTCTGACCTCCAATTACAAATTTGTAGATTAGATATAGCACATCATAAGAATTGAGAATTGCATAGTAACCTATTTCTAAAAACATCGCATAGGGCCACATAAAGGAAATGTGGCCCTATGCGTTCGTGTTTATTTAAACCAGTACTTTTGTTATCTGAACTACTTTAATTTTATGTTAAAATTGTAATTTCTAATAATTACCGTCAAAAATTGCACTCAAACCTGTAAATAAATGTTTTATAGTAGATACTAAATATGTTTGGTGAGCTCGGCATATTCATAGACGCCATATTGATTTTTTCCACTCCTATTTGAATTAATTTTTTTTAATAATTGTTGCAAAACATAGGTAATGCAAAATTAAGTTTGTTTTTAATTTCAATGGTGAGTATACATAAAATAAAGTTAGTTTAAATAAATAAAACTTTCTTTACTAATGTACGAACAGTCAGTCCATAACAAGACTAGTTGCATATGATGACATATTTCCCATCAGGGTTTATGCAATTGTCTATCTTTCCCTCCCATTCAAGTATGTACGAGTATGTTTATTTCGAAACTCATTCAAACAAGACTTATCATGTTCAGCATTAATTAAACCTTAATTAATCAAATATATCTTTAAGGTATCACTGATTAATTGAACAGTATCATTAATTAATCGATCGATATCATTAATCAATATAATTAACCAAATTCGTTAATTATCAAACTAATAGTTCAAGCTCTCACTTCCTATAAATTTAACATAAGTATATAATTAACTACAGCATTCTTCATTCAATTTCTTATCAAAAATGTCTTTTTCCTTTCAGGACTATCCAACCTACTCGGAACTGGACTTCCCAAAAACTAGATTCACATGCAAGAACAAACTTAATGGCGGTTATTATGCAGACATTGAGGCAGATTGTCAGATGTATCACGTGTGTTCCGCAGACAAGAATGGAACCATGAAAGATACTAAGTTTTTATGTGGCAACGGTACTGTATTTGACCAGCGCCATCTGGTGTGCCAAGATTACAGAAGGGTCCAAAAATGTCGCGAGTCTCGGAAATTCTACAGAACACAGGCTACTATTTTGGAGTTTTTGGAAGATAGAATAAGAAATGAAAAGAGTACTAAGCAAATAATGGATGAAGCAGAATTCGAGTCAGCACGCCTGTATCATTAACTATTACGAGTCGGACCGCCTGTATTTAAACTATTCTTGTTATTTGTTTTTCTGTTTTTTGCGTAATACCTGTTTATAATAAATGTTTCTTTTCTAATATTTGTAATATCTGCATTGTCCCAAAATATCATAAATATATATCTTTCTACTTTAAACGAAACAAACTTTGTTATAAGAATTACAAAACATCATAGGGAGTTTGAAAGTGCTTAAACAAAACGAATATATATTCGTTTTTGTTCGGAAACATAGTCCAATACAAAAACCGAAAATCTAGAAAAAAGTTGTGCAACTATTATTTATTTTCCAAGTTTGAAACATGACTGCTAAATATTTAAACTTAATAATTCGTAGATTTTAAACCTGCTATATCCTTTTCATACCCACAAAGGTAACAAAAATAATCATTTGAACAAAAAAATTAAATATACCTACAGATGCTATGCTTAAGTAATATTTTTATGGATTTGGAAAATTAAAAAGAGAACATAAAAATATTTAATTTGAAGCCTTAAAATCATTTTTAGAACAAAAATATTTAAACTAAAAATACAAATTTGAACAATANATTAAATATACCTACAAATGCTATGCTTAAGTAATATTTTTACGGATTTGGAAAATTAAAAAGAGAACAATAAAAACAAAGTAAAGGACATAAAAATATTTAATTTGAAGCCTTAAAATCATTTTAGAACAAAAATATTTAAACCAAAAATACAAATTTGAACAATAATTTCCGAATTCATGTGACTTGGACAACATTTACAAAACTTAAACAACAATTTTACGGGTTATGTTTAATAAATAAGATGTCAGCTTAAAATAGTTGACTAGGTTTCGTTTATGGAAAACTGTTAACACTTTTAGTCTTTTGAGTTTTGACAAACAAAATTTTCACCAGTAAAAAATTCCTTATTTCCTACTGAACATGTTTGTTCGAAATTTAAACGTAATTTAAACCTAAGTAGGTCGAAATAAATACATTTTCTAATAAGACTGTTAGGAAATATCGCAAGCACTAATGATTTTTCATTTTATTTTTATAACTTAAACGAATCCACACAGCGCTATTTTAATTACTTCAATATTAATTCCATCAATATTAATTTTATTAAAACCTTATGACCAATGTAACGAAACTAAAACTTAATAAATATACAAACAGTTTATGTATTAAAAAATACTTTTTTTTCCCTATTTCTAGCTTGCAAATAACGATTATCTGATAATATAATGGCATTTGTGATTGCCCGCCACGTATGAAAAATGCAGGTTAAGACAATTATATCAAATTAAAAGAAGTAAAGAAGTCTAAAACTCACCAATTTTACGATTAGATATTATTTTTACGCCGATTTTTATATAACTTATAAATAACAATCCATAACGTCAAACTATCATAATCACAAAACATCACTTTCTTAAACTCAATTTCAAATTCGGTTTTCATGATTGTTTGCATTACATAGTATTTTTAATAAATTCACTTGTTGATTGGTTATTACAATCACATAAATTTTCAGGCTTGTGTGCTCAAAATAGGCTTATAAATCTTCGTCAAGTAGAAGAGATAGCACAATAGGACAAACAGCGTCAAGTATCTTCACTTGTTGATTAACTTTCAGTATAATTGATTTAATGAAATTAATATGTTTTCGACTCCATATTTCGGCGATCCTAACTGACACTATTTGACCGTTGAAGGCAGTGGGTTCGTTTCTTGTCGTAACTACAGATAACTTTTTCCTTTTTGCTGCTTCCTTCTAATGATAGATTGTCCCGTAGTGAACTGATCGTTAAGACACGGTTCCCAGCAGATCACCGCAGTCAAGCATCACTGGCTACTGTCAGTGTGCTGGTAGGTGACCACTTGGATCAATCTGCGTAGGGACCGAGGGTGTGCAGTATTGGTCCTCGTTAAACTGTGCTACCGTAAAATGCTCGACGTCACGCGAAGGTCGCCGGGCTACCGTAGCGGGGGTGCCATCCCCTCCGCAGAGGATCAAAATTGTGATGACATGTCTTCGGATCCTCCTCCGGGATGTTTCCCAGACCGTCGCCAATAGCCCATTGTGCAGCTCTAGTGCGACGTAAATTAACAACAACAACAATAAAGTTTCATCCAAATTTCCTTGTACGTGAAGTACAAGTTGTTGACTTGTAAGTCAAAGACACTAAGGTTCCAGTCGGTATCCCGTAAAGTCCCGGTCCTAAGTCCAAAAAAGCCGGTCCAGACGGTTAGCGTGTCTGACTGCGAAGCCAATGGCTGCGGGTTCGAATCCCGCTAAGAGCATGGATGTTTCTCTCTGTGTGTTGTTCTCTGTTGTGCATTGTGAGAATGTGGCCCATCCTATAAACGGGTATATGTGGCAATGTGGCTTGGGTAATGTTGCTCGCCTCCGTGACTTAGGTTCACAGGTGCCCACTGGGTACCGTTAAATGAACAACACTTCCGGCAACTTCCTAGGCGAAGGACGTAAGAGTTCAGTGCCTGCCATCAAAAAAAAAGTCCGAAAAAACATTAATTCTAACGAGCAAAAAGCATAGATGCGCTTATCAAAATGAAACTAAAATTTCGATTCAGATCAGACAAAATACTGTTGTTGCTCTAACTGCAAAAACCCAATTATTTAACCAACAGAAAAATATAATTTGCTTGTTAGATCCTCTTTCAGTTTCTGAATCAAGACCTTCCATCTCTGAAAGTAGAAATGTAATTCTGATTTTTGTTTGATTACTAAGATCGCATTAAAGCTAGAATAAAATGCTACAGAAATTAAAGCAATACATTTCTAAAAACACAATTGACTGAAGGTGAAAAAAAGGCACCAGTATGGCAAGATTGTACTTGCCTCTGGTACGTCTTACATGATCCTTATTTATTTATTTATTGCTCATCACAAATGTATATCTGAAAGGGTTAAAGAGAGATTCGATCCCGCTACCTCCATACTATTGAGAGTCAAGCGGAACAGCGTGAACACTCGGATAGGGAGAACTCAAAATGCTCTTGGAAAACTGACGGAACTAAGCTAATTCTGTTCTAACAATGTGTTATTTTGGTTTTATTGGAAGTGCCAGCAATATTCCATCGAAGTTTTTTGCAAAACCGGAAGACATCTTTGCTCAAGATCTAAATTCAAAATACTTTATAATTTAAAAAAAAAAAGTTTGAGCTCCTTCTCTCCTAATAAATGAACAAACTATCTGCCAGGCTCAAAGATAATGTTGTTCAAGGTCTGAAACAGTTTGTATCATTTTTTGAAGGAAGAAAACTTTCCATTTTTGATTTTGTAGAGAATAATATTAAAAAACGTTTTTCGCGACCTTATACATTTTTCAATCTCGTGTGAATACTAAAATGTAGCAGAAAAGAAATATTTCATATTTGAAAAGGTAAAACGGAATAATTAGGCAAATAAATTTTCACTTATGTAAGCAGATGTTTTTAAAAAGTGTTTCTAGGTAAAACATTTTTTTTTTTACAAAAATTTAAATTTTACGAAAAAAAAAAAAATTATCACTGTGAGCATTTTTGTTCCTCACTTTTTTTATTAAACACAAAAACATGTAAAAATGGAATTAGGTGTGTGATAGAAAAATCAAACTGTTCCACATATTTACTACTTTAAAACTTTTCTGGATTCGGTAGATAATTTTTTCAAGCAATTTTTTTATTAAAATCTTCGAAAAATATAGTAATTGACTTTATATAACATGTTTAATGTTTTTTTTAAATTAAAATTGAATTGCATAACATAAATTTAAATCAAAGAATTTCGTTACATAAAATAAATTTATTCTCCACACTTAATATGAGTAAAAATTCGTAATCTATTGAAAGAGTTGGTAAAAAAAAAAATAAAAAAAAAAATTCACCGGAGAAGTAAAGAAAAATATAAATTCAAATTAAAATACCATTTACGGAACTCTAAACAAGCTAATTACATAAAACTAATTTCCTTCTTTCCCCTTTTCTTTCTCTTTAATAAAGGGAACAATTATTTTTCTAATTTAAATAATTAAATTTTTCTGCCCTGACTTCCACCATTTCATAACATTTGATTCTAAGCTTATAAAGCTCGCTTTTAAAATGTATGGTGCTGCCATCTATGAAGAAATATATAAACGGTAAATTACAAAAATCATGTCATTATAAAAAAGCAAAAATTTTTTAACCTTATTTTCAATGAGAATAATATCACCTTTAAAAAAATATACAGATTTTTTTATTAGTTATATTACTATATGCAGAGTGTAAGGTGGCTTTAAAACAATTGTACTCGTTTGTATGAAAAATTCAGTATGAAAAATTTAAACTTAATAAAGAAATAATGAAATCTAACAACAATGAAGGGAAGAAAAGTTGATTCGTTTTTGAGAAGTTGATTAACATAAAGTAAGAATTCCAAAGGCAAATTGATTTATTGTCCAATGAAATGTATTTTAACTGAATATGTGAACTATAAAATGCCCTACTTCATAATTAAAAATGCTGTGGCAAACGGAAATGAAATTTTACGTTTCATTTAAACAATAACGCGTGTTAGTTATGTTTATCTAAGATTAGTAAAATTAATTTATATTTCTTATTCCTTATTATTATCCTATTATTAATTCAGTCATTTCCTATAAATAATTCAAAATTATTCATTAATAAGATCATAAGAGAAAAAAAAAATTCAAACTGCATGAAATTTCGTACATACTTTCATTCTGCATGGATATTTAATTAGACAAATGCTGGAGTTTTTTTGTTCTACGCTATAACAATTATGACCGAAAATGCATATTTTGATATAGTTATCACCAGGTTACCACATCTCCACACTTCTAAACCGCGAATCATGGTGACTTTCAAACCTTTAAAACACGATCGGAGAAGGAGCGATCACCCAGCTTATGTTACAAGGATGAAAGCCATGGTGACACTATCCACCAAACTATCTGTGCAATTTAAGAGTAAATTATTAGATTTTGTATTGATATACAAAATTATTTATTGCCTACATAGATTTCCTACTAATAAATGCCATAAGAAATGAAGTAATTAAAAATGTGCAGCATTTTTGAAGTAAAGATGGGTAACTTCAA